CAGTTCTAAGCTCTGCCATCTCTAGATAGGACTAGAAAGAGTCCTGCTTTAAGCATTAAAAGGCAACTACAGTATTGGGCAGTGCTGCCAAAATTCAACTAAGGCTCTAAGGTTCTCAGCTCAAGCCAGTCTTCATAACATGGACTTTGCTGAGTCATTCCATTGTACAATTTTATATGGCAAAAATGGCTCCGTCTGGATTTAGACCCATGTAAATACGTCAAATGGCTGGATTTCATAGGGCTTGATGCAAAGCTGATCTTTTGAGATGTGGTATGTGTATGGCAAAGGAGTACTTGTCAGTGAAAGGTCTCAGAATGGAACTACTCTGATTCTTTCCACCTGAGATCAGTTGAATATGTGCTTGCCTCTATAAAAACACCTTTATATTTCCCATGTAGCATATTTTTCAGGTATACTTAAATCTGTTTTCGTTTACCTTGGGGAAGAAAGGCAACTTGTAGTCTCTTCTTGAATCTTGGACACTGCACAATGCTTTATGCTCATTTACCATGTGTGAAGAACAAGACCTCTTTTTAATTTTTCCAACTTTCGACTGTTTCTCAAAGATAAATTGCAGTGTCTCTGAGGACTCTTGCAGGCTAAGGTGCAGTAGCCAGTATAAACACTATATTCTTGTTTCCCTTGTGAAGCCTTATATTTTGTAGGGGTGGTTCTTTACTTCATTTCCTTCAGGAGGTAAAAGACAGGCTGTGAGTGGATGACACATTTTTAAGAGCTCATTGTTAAATAAAGAAGTCCCCATGCAAAGGAAATGTGGTTATATATGTCATGGGTAGTTTGCATCATTTAACCCTTTGTTCTTGTATGAAACCTTAGCTTTTTTTCAGAACAGAGAAATGAATAAATACAGATCCATGGAGTGGGTTATGTTGTCATTCTCTGCCCACATCTTATATGTATGCAATCCTACATGGTTAAGCATGCCATCAGAAACCTAACATTTTCAGGATACTTGGTTATGCAAGAGATGCCCATCTATGATGTAAACTAGGGGTCCCCAAACTCTTCAACTCATCGAACCCTTCATGGAATTTCAAATTGTTCATCAACCCCCAAATGTTTATTATATGAAAATAATTTAATAAATACTATTTTAACTAATAGTACTATGAATTGACCCTTGGGGTTTGATATTGACCACTTTGAAGAACCTACTGAAAATGAATGCCTGCAGGCTAGGGCTCTGCTTGCCACAAATCAAGGTATGAGTGGTTGGAAGCCTGACACTGAGTTCAGACACTGCCTTAAGTTGTAATATGATTTGCTTGACTAATGCCTAGTCCAATGAATACACTCAACACATTGTAGCTTATTTAACAATTCACAATTAAATCATCCCATGTCTTAGAATTATTGTGAACCTATAGATTCATCTCCATCCACATTAATTTCCATCTTAGCACTTGTAAATGTTGTGAGGTTTGTGGTTCTGGTCTTCATTTTTCCAAGTCTTTTAACCATTGCTAGCCTGTCTCCTAATTTGTATTTTTATTCATGCATTAATGCCAATAGAAAATTCCTTGCCTAGGGTCCAGTTTGAATGGCATTTGGGTGCTTTCACAGAGCTATTTGCTCTGCAACAGCTACACTGAGAACCTGCCCTAGAATACAGCAAATGGGTCTTTAATTTATGTAGCTTTTGACTTAATTTCAGGAAGCAGGAGCAGCCCTGAAGGTCAAATAGGGGAACAAGAGAGGGAAAAGGGAAAGGGAACAAGGGAAGAGGATGGAGAAAAGCCAAGAGCATCCATTTCTCAACTGAAAAAGATTCTTAATTCCTCTGCTAAATGTATTGTTTTGTAAGCTGCCCAGAGTTGTATTACAATATGGGTGGTTATAGACATCTTTTAAAATGAATAAATAAATGGCTATGCTAACATTATATAAATTAGCAGCAGGACATATCCTATGTCTCTAAAGAAAAATGTAAATAGCTATCTCTATTCCCTTTTTTTGGAAAGATTGTTTTAAAGCTGAACTATCATGTTTCTTTTTTTCTAAGGCCATACAATGACAAGCTGGGCAATGGGGCTGAAGTGGGACTAAAGTTTCTGGTGTTGAAACATTTTGGAATGAAGATGTGGGAGAAAGCAAATATTACTAAGCACCAATGATGTTCTCAGCCTCCAAATAGTACTTCCATTTGCAACAAAAGTACTAGCAGAGAAAGGAAGAGCTATTTACAATTTAGATGCTGGGAAATGATGGTTCCTCCTAGAAGAAGGATGCTAATTTGCAAATGGTCATCAGTGCATGCAGTGGTTTATAACCACTGGGATAGTACTCCGTATATTCAAGTGCAAGAAGTCCTTTCATTTGAAATGTTTTGAACTGAAAAATTGTTCTTTGCTGGCTGGCATCAGTGCTGCAGCTGAGCATAGCCAACACCTGGGTCCTGTTTAATTTTTTTTCCCCCAGTGTAAGCCTGCAAGTCAATATTGAGTGTCCCAGTCTAGCACATTTTAGATTTCCCAGAATGGCCTAAAACAAAGTAACTTGAGGACATTGTAGGAAATTAAGTTGGAGACTTAGATCCAGCTGTTGAAAATATTGCAGCAGATAAGTTAACCAAGATCCACCGACACAAGAGAACCTCACTGTATTACTTAGAACCCCCATGACAAAGCTGGAGCTGAAACTAGGGTTTTGCCCAGTATTTTCTTACAACAATCTTCCTCCAGTGCTGGCTGTAAATTTTGGAAGCTGTAGTCCCAACACATCTGGAGAGGACCAAGTTGGGAAATTCTGGCTTGCTGTATTTAGAAAATATATTTTTCTGAGATAACATGCTCTGAAACGTTTCTAAGGAAAATAAGTGATCCAGGAAATGTTAAACATTTGCTTCTTTTACTCCCACACACTCTTCCTTTTGGCAAGAGTTGCCTAAGATTTACTGTTTTAAAGAGCAACCCTGGGAGAAATATCTATTTAGGGGTTTTTTCCCCCCACTAAGTGCAGGTAGTGGCAGTGTTATATTAGACAAGAAAATGCTTATTGGGTCTATCACCTTATTTTTCCTGAACCCAAAATATTCTTAAGAAAAAGAGGAAAAAAACCACAACTCCTTAAACTAATTACCAATTTCCAGTCAGCTTATCTAAATGTCTCTGATCAGAGCAATGCCATTTAACTCAGAATGTTGAATTCTCCAGCATCCTGCTTGTAAGTTGCTGTGTTGTCAATCAGAGATTGGAATGTTTGTGCACAGACAATGGAGCCAGGATTTCTCTGTTTAGAGCTTGAAGTTTTGTTTTGAAATGTTCAGAGTCTCCTGGGGCAATTATCTGCCTGAAGAGTGAGATACATGACACCATTTATAGGCTATGTTGTGAAGCTTCAGGTTGGAGTAGGAGTGAAAAGAAAGTAGGAGGGGGGTCAAAGAAACTCATGTACACACAATTATATCTGTCTGTCTGTCTGTCTATCTCCACTTTCTCCCCAAGGAATTGCATCTCTTTTTTGTGTTTTGAAATGAGTGATGGGGCCATTTCCCTCTCATCCACCCCCTCCCTTCTCTGCTATGCTATGCTTCCATTTAATTAGTTCTGCTGATTTATCTCCTGCTGGTTAATGTTGCATGTCTAAATATGAAGTCTCAGGTGTGGGAGGACCAGTGGCCTGATGAGTTGCATCTCATTCTCATTAAATCTAGTGTTGCATCCTTTTCAAGTAAGCTTTCCCATGGAACCAGTCTTCACTAACTTTGTTGGCCAATGAGTCTTCAGTTGTTTATAAACACAGCTAATTAAACTGTAAATCAAGCTAGCACCCTTGCAAGTTTAGTTCTGTTGATGATGTATCTGTGAACAGGTCAGAGAATGCTAATAACTAACCTTTTTAGTCACAAGGCCAATCAATCATTTCCTGTTGTGGGCTTAGGTCTGCTGCAGCACAGAGACCCCTCCTGAGGGTGCGTTAGGGCTCACAATAGCAATGCTATTTGACTGACATTCCCTGAGAAGTGGTTCTGATTGGCTCAGTGAGCCGAATCTGGAAACGGAGAATTGGGGACAAGGGTTTTCTCAGAGTTGCTATGCGTAATAGATGGTGCACTAAGTCCCATTGCTGACTGAAGAGGGACTTAGTAATACAGGCTTTCGTAGCAGTAAGTAGGATCATCTGGACTGTCATTTAGTACAAACTTTGTTTAAATTGCAAAATAAAAATGGGAACACATCAAACAATGTTATGCTGCAGATCATGATCAACAGCCAAGCCATCCTCTTCGATCTGGAAATGCAGGTGAGTTTACTTAAAACATTACGGCTGTTTTATGGCAGCCTGGGACTCAAAGGAGCACTTGTCCTTTTGGAAGGGTTTTCAGAAATGTAATAAAACTCAGGAGAGTTATTTGAAAACTTATTTTGCTGATTCTCTCCCCTTAAGAAAATCTGAATCTCCCCAGTAATGAGGGTGTACACTTATTATACAGTACTGAAGTCCAATATGCTAAATGAGAAACTTATTTTTTAACAGAAAACTAAGATATTGTAAGTTTAGCTATCATCCGTAGAGGCATTTTTTTAAAGAATACTTAGACTGCCATCAAATGATGCCTTGGGGAAAATACATCTGATTTTTAAAAAGTAAATCTATGTCAAATGATGCTATTAAAATATATTGGGGAATTTGCTTTATTTTTATTTTTTTTAATCTTTCCCCCATAAACAAAATGGAAGTTTCTCATGCAGACAGATTTGAAGCTATAAGAACAGCTTTTGATGCTATCAGGCTATCTATCTATCTATCCATCCATCCATCTTTTTTTTAATCAATCATGAGTCTCATTGAATGGGATTTCCTCCCAAATAATTTATACTAGGCTTGGAAGTTTAACAACATATCACCTTAACTAGCTGCTACTTTTTCTTTATGTATATTTTGCAGATTTCCTGCTGCTTTGTCTAAAAGTTCTGTTTTCAACTGAGTCAATTTCTCTCTTTCCATTCCCCTTTCCCTTTTTATTGTACAGAACCTGAAAACTAAAGAAGAGGAACGTTTGCACAAAGGTTTAATGGTGGCCTTGGACTGATAACAATGAATCATTATTACATTGTTTTTATGTGCACCATGCTTGGCACTGAACTACTAAGGAGCCTCGGTACCCCTGTCAAATCCCCAAGGTTCAGAGGTCGGGGGCAGCATGAAAGAAAAAATATTAGGCCAAACATTATTCTTGTACTTACAGATGACCAAGATGTGGAACTTGGTAAGTCTGTTTTGAATTGCAGCATCTTTTTATACCACCACATTTTGTTCTGGTTTTGTATTGTTCTTTTGAAAATCACTTTCTGCTCTGTAAATAATCCTTCCATGTATTGGCCTTTCCTGCCCATTATCCTAGTTAGTTGACAGATTTGGAAAACCTGTTCCCAGAAAAACAAAATTAACTGTTTCTTTGCTTCAGCATGATATATCTTATTCCTATTTAACAGCAGCATCTAGATAAATGCTCAGCTACCTCTGATTAAATGAAGCATTTTATAAAACTGGGTGGCAAAGGAAAGGAGGAAGTTGCCTGTCAACAGCAGTTAATTTTCTAATAATGGCCATGCGTGTATGGGTGTGTAAAACACTAAAGATCTGGAACACTGGAAACACAATATCTTGGATGCATTTACATTTGTTTTATCTGTTTACACATTTATAAGCTGATTGTTTTTTTAATTTATTTATTAATCATATTTATTATACAATTTCTATACTGCCCCAATTTCACTCTAGGTAGCGTACAAGTGTCTCCACAAGCAGTCTCAAAATACAATCCATCACTTAATATAAAACAATCAAAAGGAAATAAAATGAAATGGCCTTCCTCCTTCCCCACTAGGCTTCAAGAGCATCAAAAGCCTGTTTGAAAAGGAAGGTTTTAAGAAACTTCCTAAAAATCTGGAATGAAGGGGCCAAGCGTATCTCCAAGGTCAGCGTATTCCATGGAATTGGGGTCACAACTGGGACAGACTTCACAGGAGAGTGGCACATAGAGCAGGGCTCTCTCAGTGATCTAAGAGGAGAGGCAGACTCATTTTGGACAAGAATCTTTCTCTAAGGCAGGGTTGTCAAAACTGGGCCCTTTTAAGATGAGGGGACTTAAACCCTCAGAATCCCCCAGCCAGCCATGCTGGCTGGGGGATTTTGGGAGTTGAAGTCCACTCATCTTAAAGTGGCCAAGTTTGGACAACACTGCTCTAAGGTAACCTGGCACTGATAATAGATTCCACCTGTGGGAACCAGTAACCCCCTATGAGTGGACACTCTCTGGGAGGGAAGCAAATGGTCAGTAAGTAAACTCTGCTTGTTGACCTCAACACCCAGTGATTTCAGTGGTTCATTCATGTAATTTCTTGGCATATAGAAGTGGTTTTCCTTTCAGTTTCCCAATCTGGCCTGCAGTTCATCCAAATGTCAAACATGTCCAAACCCTGCTTATCTTTTTTGAGATCAGCCAGTCAGTCAGATGCTGCCATTATTTCATGTCCTGCATTCTCAAATAATGGGAATACATCTTGACCTTATTCTGTGTGGCATCCTTTCAGGTAATTGAAAAGCACCATCCTTCCTTAGTCCTCTTTTGTCAAAGTTAAACAATCCCAGTTTCTGCAGTCTCTCTTTGTATGACTTATTCTAGTCCCTGAATATCCATTTTGCCCATCTCTGAATTTATAGCATTTGTCTGAACCATTTTTAACTGTTCACCCTTCACCACCTCTTCAAGAGCCTGAGCCTGGTTTGTTTGTTTTTTTCCTTCCTTTCGTGCTTTTTGTCAGTCCATGACCATGGTCCTCAAGAACTGAACCAAAGAAAACCACAAGGGCTGACATAAATGGATATAATGGGCCAGTTATTCTCTTTCAGCCCAACCCACCACATAGGGCTGCTATTGTGGGGAGAATAGGAGGCAGGAGTATTAGGCATGTTTGCCACCTTGAGTTTTACACACACACACACACATACACACACACATACATACATGGGATAAAAATATAACAACAATAATAATACCAAAAGTATAAATGGTATTTGTTGTTGTTGTTCAGTCGTTAAGTCATGTCCGACTCTTCGTGACCCCATGAATCATATTGCGCCAGGCCTTCCTGTCTTTCACTGCCTCCCTGAGTTTGCTCAGTTTCATGCTCAATAAATGGTATACTTTCTACCAAAATATAAACAGTAATAGAAATTTGAAAAATGGGAAACCAAACAAAAATGAAACAATCCAGTTTTGGAAAGATCTGTGGGAAATTCAAAAAGATTATAATAAAAATGCTGGATGGATAAAAGAACTTGAAGATGAATTTAGTAAAAATCAAATGGAAGAACTAATAACAGCAGAAATGGTTACACATTGAGTGAAAAGGATTAAAAACTGGACATCTCCTGGAATGATCAATTGCATAGCTTTTGGCTCAGATATCTGACTAGCTGACATCCAATTATAGCTTAACAGCTTAATGAAGTATTGCGTAAAGGAGACATCAGTGTCTGGTTAATAACTGGCAAAACTTATCTGATTCAAAAAGACCCAGAAAAATGGACAACACCAGGAAACTATAGGCCAATAAATGCTTGCCTACAATGTTTACATTACTCACTGGCATAATAACGGACAACATCCAAGATTATTTGGAAAAGAATAATATCCTTCCAGTAGAACAGAAAGGAAATAAAAGGAAAAGCAGAGTACAAAGGATCAACTTCTGACTGATAAAATGGTTTTAGAGAATTGCAAAAGCTGAAAAACCAATTTACATATGGTCTGGATTAATTATAAAAAGGCGTTTGATTCATTAACACATAGTTGGATCATCAAATGTTTGGAAACAATTGGTGTCAACAAAAACATTAGAATCTTTATTGAAAAAATAAGCAGTGGAAGAAAGAATTGGTGGTTGGAAATGAAAAATATGGGTTTGTCAATATTAGGAGAGGCATCTTCCAGGGTCTCATTATCACCCTTATTATTTGTCCAACTTTCAGTAATTTTGGGGGGAAAAAAACTTGGCTACCAAACAGCAAAAAATGCTAATAAAACCTCATATTTATTTTCTGTGGTTGATCTGAAGCTTTATGAAAAATTGGAAATTGAGATCCAGGCATTGACAAATACTGTAAGAATTTTTAGCACAGATATAGCAATGGAATTTGGCCTGAAGAAATGTGCTACAGTAACAATAAACTGGAGTAAAATCACAAATGTAATGAAATTGAAATGCCAAATGGTCAAACCATCAGGAGGCATCAGGATGAAGCCTACAAGTATTTGGGCATTTTACAGTTGGATAACATCAAGCGTGGACAAGTTAAAAATGTGATCAGTAAAGAATACATCCAAAGAATGAGAAAATTGTTAAAGACAAAATTGAATGGTAGAAACACCATCAAAGCCATCAATATCTGGGCCATACCTGTTATATGATACACTGCTGGAATTATTAACCAGACACAAGCTGAATTGGACAGTTTGGACCGAAAAATAAGAAAACTCATGACTATTCACTATGCATTGCATCCCCGTAGTGATATTGATAGATTAGACCTGCCCCGCAGAAATGGAGGCAGAGGTTTACTTCAAGTCAAACAAACTGTCGAAGAAGAAAAGCATGTATTGGCTGATT